ATTCATCACTACATATAGAGACTCTTATTCGCACAAATAACCTAAACGCAAATATTCATGCAATTCATGTCACTAAATAATCAACAGATCGTGTTTTTTAAAATTATTCAGGTGCCGAAATATCAAGATGCCAATTCGTGTCGCTCAGACTCAAAGGGTTAAATATTCACTAATATACAGAGTGTCCAGAAAGTTACTAGAGATAGAAAATTTTGAATATCGTCATGACTCTTCAACCAACGAGCTAATTTTTTTTTGAGAATAGAGTACAGATAGAAGTTTTTATTTATGAAGGAACAGTCCATTCATGACCATGAAACCAGCAAATTTTTCTTCACTATATAAGTAAAACACCGCACAAACGTGTGTTGTTCATAGCTATAGTACGATACTGTAGGATATTCTTTTATTTATTTGCCAAGTCATATAGCTGATGTATATATAAGTGTGTATTAATGTGTTTGCTACGTGTTTCAAAAGAAAAAGAGAAGTGAAACAATGGTTAAACTTACCATATGATCTAGTTTTTAACACAAAAATACAATAAGGGAGTTAGCTTTAGATGGTAAATAAATCCTCATCATAGATAGCTGGTGATATAGTAAAGAAAAGTTTGCTGGTTCCATGGACATGAATAGACCTTCCTTCATGAATAAAAACTTCTATCTCTATTCTATCCTCAGAAAAAAATTTAGCTCATTTGGTTGAAGAGTCACGAAGGTATTCAAATATTTCTATCTCTAATAAGGACGAGCAATCTGACTGTCAGATTCCCGCGGGTTCCGATAGGAAAGTATTGGATTGTCTGGTGTCTCTTGTATAATCCGAGGAGATCCGACAGTTGGATAGCTCGTTCTGAGAATATTTGTTCATATAGTAGATGTTACCGTGGCAGCAAATGTCAAAATAGTGTAGAGATATTTCCTAAGAAAATTTGTTTATTTAGTCCAAAGATAAAATCGAGTTCCATGCCTAAGAGAAATGATTGTTCGTTTATTAATAGATTTTTAGAAAGAAGTGAAATTTGTTTTAGGTTCAGGTTGTTTTTATGGTGGAGATCTAGTTCATTTAATTGATGGAGGAAAACGTTCAATATCGAAATTAAAAGTTGGTGATCCAATTTGGTCACTTAATTTAGATGGAAATGGTTTAATAGAAGATGAAATTGTTTTAATGATGCATAATGAAGCAAACAAATCAGGTTTGCCTTTTTTTCTTAAGGAATTTTTACCTTGATAGGATAATTTAGCTTTATTTTATACATTTACAACATCTGATTGTAATGAAGTTAGTTTAACAGATTCTCATAATATTCCTGTTTATTGTTGGAATAAAAATAAAATCGAAATAATTCTTGCATCAAAAGTAACAATAAATGATCGTTTAATAATGTATGGAAAGAAAGTCGAAATAAAAAATATTTCAATAAATATTCGTCAAGGATTTTATTCTCCATTGACAGTAACTGGTTATTTATTTGTCAATAATATTTCAACATCAGTTTTTTCTGACAAGTATTTTTAATTAGAAACATTTAATAAAATATATTTCAGACTTCTTTTTTAGTTATAAAGTATCATCTTCAACAGTTCAATTTGTTTTTACACCCATTCGAATTTATTATCATCTTATGAGATGGATTTATGGAAATGGATATATTCCATTTGCACATATTCAACAAGGTTTACATCCTATACCAGCATTCTATAAAAAAAATATCAAGCACAACTTCGATTTCTAATCCAAGCTCCTCCATATATTATTGGAATATCACTTCTCACTATTATTATACATTATCTTCATAAAACTTTATTTCCGATTGGAAAAAAAATGCAGTTATTCACTTAAAACATTTCTACAAAATGACTCATAATGCAAATTTTAATGAACATTGTCTGTGAAGACTCTAGTGACAAAATACATCAGTTATATTTAATTCGTTTTCAAATCCCTTTTTTGATTGACGTCAAATGTGCAAGTGACTGTGGAAGATGTTTCTTATGTGATATTTACATCGGGATCAACCGGACGGCCGAAAGCGGTAAATGTGAGTTGCTACTTCTTCACCTGATCAATCGTCGAATTGCTTTTTAGGTTCAAATTTGTCATCGAAACGTTGTCTCTTGTTTACAGTCTGTATTGAAACTAGGTGTGATGAATGTAAATGATACAGTTCTTCAGAATTGCCCCGTATCATTTGACATTTGTGAGGTTATTCCTCTCAGAATCGTTTTGCATCCAATGGTTAATAGCCAAAGAAGAATGTAACTGTTACACACACTTTATTTCAGTAAATATTCATCTATATATAGTATATTTTAGCTTCAGGAAGATCCCTTTGGGAAACTGGGAAAAACAGCTATTGTACAAGAGGGAGAGAGAGAGAGCGCGAGAGAGTGAGAGAGAGAGAAGAATAGAAATGAAAAATACCCACAGAAATACATATCATAAAAAGCAGAGAGTGAATACATATATCAGAAGAACAGAAAGGGAAAATAACCATCGAGTGACGATAAGAATATGTATATTGAAAGATGACAACTATTGATATGAGATTAGGTTAACTACTTCCTAACA